AAACCCCAAAACCCCAAAACCCCATGAGCATAAATTCAATTGCCAAAATAATAAATAATTTTTGAATAATCATAATTTCAATGGCAATTTAACTTACTTAAAGCCACCATTATAATCATGAGATAAAAGAGAATGATAACTCTCTATAACATGCATTAAAGTCTTAAGATAGTGATACTAGCAGTGACTTAGAATATAACTCAGATTATGTACCTGATGGAAGTTACAAAAAATTTGAATGGATTAAAGTATCGTTTCGAGGTATCGTGAAAAGAATATACAATCCTAAATTAGAAAACTATGAAGAGTTTGCTGATGAATTAAGAAAAAGATTCCCATAGGTTGGAAATAACACAATAGATCTTTATTATATGGTTAAAATATAGGATAAGGAGAGAACAGAGATGATTCCCATCTTAAAGGATTAAGATCTTTGGAGACAAATAAATGATCTCAGATAAAATGATTAAGAACGAGTGATAAAGCTTTAAATCGATGCATACAAAAGTAATAAAATGAAAATAAACAGAATTCAAGAGGATGCATAACTTTATGTTTAAAAGAGGCATAATAATGAAAAGTTTGATAGACAGAGAAGTTTCTTTGAATAAGTTTAAGAAGAGTTAATTAAGAGATAATCCTCACATTTTTAGGAAGAAGAAAAATCATTATACTCATAACACGAATAATTAATTGATAATCCAAACAACAGAAATATTTTCTTTGCTTAAACCTCTGACAATGATGAATAAGGCCAAGTTCAGCATTTATATCTTGAATAAGAAGAAGAAAAAGCTATTGAAGTTGATGATTCAAACAATTTGAAACTCGATTTCTCTCGCCTAGTAATTGATAAATCCATGGCCAATTCTCCCAAAAGCAATTAAAATGAAGGAGAAGGAGGTAGAGTTTAAGTTAATTAAATGGAATTTGAAGAGCTCAATTTGAGATTAGAATCTGAAAAAGATCTAGAAGAAGAGGAAATAAATGTAGTTATGAAGATAAATAATAATTAAAATAAAGGAAATAATAAACCAAAACCTAAAGAAAATCCTTTTGAAGAAGCAAAGCATAAAGTCCTTTAATATCATTATGAAAATAAAGACAATGAAAGTGATGAGATTATAAGAAAACTATAGGAAGAAGATAGACTCAATAGAGAAAAGGATTAAAAGATGAATAAGATAAATCAATCTGCTCTGAATAAATCCTCACTTTTAAATAGAAATTCAGAAGTAAAGGTTCTAGCTTAAGTTTTTTTAGAACCTCAGTATGTTATCAGAAAAATCTAAGACTTTGGTTAGAAAAAGCAAACACCTTCTAAATTTGGTTTTTTGAAGAATATATTCATGTTCAAAAGAAGAAATGAAGATCCACAATAAAACTTGAAAAAATGTACAATTATTAATGACAGAGATTGCTATAAAAGATGTAGTCCCAATGAGCACATAGAACTATCTTGGGAGTTTGAAAACGAAACTGATTAACAGTGGCCTTCAATATACTATTTAAGAAGTTATCAGAAAGATTAAGCCATAATTAAGACAAAGGGTTTGGAATTTTTAGTATAAAAGCATGAAAAGTATGAGCTAAAAATGAACATTAACATACCTGCAGGTGTCATGCATAACAAAATTATCCTTCAATTCAGATTTGAGGATAGCAATAAGATACCATTTGGCTAGTATTTGAATGCTATTATAGACATAGCACCTGATCATTTTGAGGATGTCTATAGAAATCAAGGATAGAACCAGGATAAGGAAGCTATATACTACTAGGTTGCATACGATCTTAATGAGTAGGGTTTCGGAGACTTTGAAAGATGCTACAAAATAATCTAGGCATGCAAGGGTGATGTGAAAGAAGCTGAAAAAATTCTGAGCAAAATTATGATAAAAGAAACAAAATCTTCAGATTCTGATTGAGATTAAGAAATATCATTTACTACTGAAGGGAATAAAATATGCTGAGAGATTCATATAAGTTTAGTGTTTATTTTAGAAATATAAATTTATAAACTAATATTATTCTGTGAGATATAAGAGATGTTTTAATTGATCAATATTAATAAAAATCAAGAATTAAACTTATCTATTATAATCGAGCTGTAGCAAGTTTCCTGACTGAAAGTTTATTTCATCAACATGCATATTAAAATTCAATCTAGTTAGATATTATTCTCTTCAAGGAAAGCACCCAGGGTAGATTCCTCAGTGTAGGTGATATACAAGAATCCATCAGCATCCTTTTTCTATTCATAAGCATGTGCCATTAAAGTGTCTATAAGAATTCGTTATATTCTCTTGAATTCATGATGAAAATTAATATGATTGGACTGAATGATTGTATTTTTCTCACATATCCATCAAACAGTTGCTTAAATATTGTATTTTAACTTACCTCCCTTGAGCAAATATTTTCCATTCACGAAGAAGTAAAGAGACTCCTTTTCGGGGAGCTTGATTCTCTTTCTGATGATATAGTTGAAGTGATATGATGTTAGATCATTTGGTACCAAGTATCTACATATATGTTAAATTCTGACACATAGGGCGTATTTAAACTTACTTGGATTTGTCGATATCTGGGAGCTTTGAAGTCTGAGATTTCTCACAAATGACTGGGATTCTGTCTGGGTACTTCTCTCTGATCTTTTCTGACTCCTTCTTTCTCATATCTATAGTTCTCAGTTAGAAAATGCAAGTATAGTAATACCTTGGTCGGGGTGAGATTTCTTATAGTTCATTTCTTTAAAGAGATTATTTAATTATTATTTAAAAATGCATAAATTCTACAATTACTCATCTTTCCTCCAATACGGAATCTGGGGTTTTGGGGTTTTGGGGTTTTGGGG